TAATAATAATAATAATAATAATAATAATAATAATAATAATAATAATATATAACATCATATCATATTTTAGCATTTATTTTATTTGCTGTATTTGTTATGTAGTAGAAAGTGTAGGATTCATAAAACGAAAATAAAAACAATAACACACTTTAATACTAATAAAAATAATTGTTAATAAACTAAAGTTACAGTAATTTAAATAACAAATTGGCTGGTTTTTCCAGATACAATGTAAATAAAAAAAAATAATAATAAAATAATAATAATAATAATATATAACATCATATCATATTTTAGTATTTATTTCATTTGATGTATTTGTTATGTAGTAGAAAGCGTAGGATTCATAACAAAACGAAAATAAAAACAATAACACAATAATTTTAATACTAATAAAAATAATTGTTAATAAACTAAAATTACAGTAATTTAAATGACAAATTGGCTGATTTTTCCAGATACAATGTAAATAAATAAAAATAATAATATAATAATATTAATAATAATAATAATATATATCATATCATATTTTAGTATTTATTTTATTTGCTGTATTTGTTATGTAGTAGAAAGCATAGGATTCATAGCAAAACGAAAATAAAAATCGTCCGATAATATTGATTGATAGTTTAGTAATAATAGTATTAATTTTATTTGCTTTTAAGTAGCCTTTTGTTACTTATTAGAAATACAAGAAAACATAAATAAAAAAAGTATGATAAACCGATTGACGAACTTGCAATGATAATTAAGCCTAGTTATATTAAATTTAGCGTTTCGAAACTTCATTGGCGTTCCATATATTTGTTGAAAACAAACCGCGACCGAAATGAAGCGCGACCGAAACGAAGCGCGACCGAAATGATCTGTATTCTGGATCACTGGATCAAGCACATATGAAATACACTCTCCTGTAAAGGTTTTTTACATAAAGTTCCAAAAACTATTTTTAATTATAATTATTGTTTACATTTCTGCATATTTTCTCAGAGATCTTGATGAGTATCTCTGGGGTATATACGGCCGTCCAGATCATATAAATAGTTGTGGTGAAGAAGTTAACGTTAACAGTGATGAAAGCAGCAACGTCTCTACTGATGACACAGAGCAAGTAGAACAACACAATGATGAAGCTAATAATACCATAAAATTGACTGATGGTAGATCCCCAGGAGTTTGTTGTGATCAAAGCCAATCTATTGTAATTAAATGCAGCGAACAATTAATTGACAAAACAACTCCGATAAATCCATTTCACGATGAAGAAGATATCAATAATGGAAAAGCAAATCTCATTTCATCTTGCTTTACCTGTTTGGAAAATCCTGCGGCTGATACAAAAAAGACTAATCAAATTGCAGATTCTGCTAAAGCAAATGTTGAAACTGTCAACAAGGTACGTTCATTAGATCATGTAATATAACATTTTAACTATATTTGGGGCTGAGCTAATGTAAGAAAATTTATAACTATGGTAACCTTAGATTGCTGGAAATGACACTCTAAGATTGTAAGATTCGTAAATAAATCAAGACCAATAAAATATATCCCTACATATTGGGCATACACATAGCCATATGAGGCATGTCGTGGCAAAATGGCTAAGTTGTAGCAAAAATTGAAATTCAAGTTATTGGTATTTTCAGATACCTGAGTATGTGATCTTTAAAATGAGGGGTCATTCATTCAAATTGGACATTTCAAGCCTAAGTTATTGGAAAGTGAATGTACAGCACTCGTAGAGTAGAGATAAACATGATTTCGAGTAATTGCCTTTTAAAGTTATTTGTGCATACATTGTTTAATAGAATGAACTATCAAAATAATGTTAAATAAACAATTTGTTGACCACTTCCAGAACTAATACTTTGAGAGATGATTAATAAGACATTAAACTGTTGATCTATAGCGAAAAACAAATTTGGATTTTTAGACAATTTTTTGATCTCCCATATTTTATAGCTCATTTACTCAATACTGAACTGTGCGACAACTTAACCATTTTGCCACGACATGCCTCATATGTGTAACATGCACTTTCAACTATGTGGTGTTTTGGCGTTTTCACTGCATATGTCAATATACTATACTATTAAAACTAAATAGCACAATGTTAATAAACATTGTTAGATTTAAACGTAAAAGAAATAATGTAGGTCTGTAGCGCACAATAATAACAAGCCCATAATATTATTGGGCATTGAAAATAACTAAATTTACCAAAGGGAAATTTTATATGATAAATAAATGGAATTAATACAGATTGCGAATATGAACGAATAATTACAAGTGCTTTATGTCATATAGATGAGATGGGTAGACGTAAAAAAGTACTGTATATCAAATATGCATATTATAGGCCTATACTGATCTGATTGGGAACAGGGTAGGGAAAACAATTAATCCTTTTGTTGTTTTGAGGCGAATAATGCAAGCGCTGCAGGTATGTGTGTAGTCTTCGTAAAGAACTTGCACATTCTTTTGACAAGTGCCGGATCCTGGAATTCGGAATAGAGAAGGCCAGATGGGAGTCCAGCCATAACACCTCAGCCCCACTATGGGCTGAGGGAAAAAAAATTTATGATTATGTCATCTCTAGATGGCTGGAAATGACACTCTCAGACTTAAACGAGAATAAGGATAATTTTAGTTAAACCTAGAAAGAAGTACGGGCGTGTATTTTAATATATACATCATTAAAGGTGTTGTTTGTGGTAATATAATATGCCTAAAAAAAAAACAAGATAAAAATTGAATTTATCATTTACATATGTTATCAACTAACTTTAAGTATCTATAGTACAGAAATAATTGAATCAGTATTACTTTTAATGCATCTATTGATGAAAATTTTTAGTTTTTACATTTAATTTTCAATTAAAAAAAGGACTTTTGGCACACAAAACGCCAAAACAGCAAACTATTTACTTCAGTGAATGTTAATTGTTGTAGTTTACTTTTGAAATTATGTTTTAAAATATTAAAATACTTAAGATAAAGTGTTCAACTGCCAGCCTTAAAACATTTTCTTATTTCATTTTAGTACAATATATCAGTGGGCCTTTTCTAATAATATGATGATTTTTTTCCAACAATGAATGTAAGCAGGAAGGCAAATGGATGACTAATCGGCACATTGAGAACAAAGTTACTGTATTCACTTCCAGTACAGCTGGCCAACATCCCAAGGAGGCTGTCATAAAGGCCTTTAACAATATTCAATTAAAGTTATTTGTCCATTTCATAATTTGAATCAATGAATTATAATGCTTCATTTTAACTTTTTAATTTCAGTGGTTAAAAAAAGTATATAAAGTAAATATCTCAGACAGTATACAGGAGTGGATGCAGAGGTGTCCAAGAGTGGGGGGGTGCCAATCGAGAGACAACATTACACTAGGGGCATTCCCCCGCGAGATTTTTGTTTTCTAGACACCGGAAATGACCTCTGAGGCATTTTGGGCGATCAGTAATTTGTTTTTCTTTCTTTTTTTAACCTCCTTTTTTTTAACCTTATACACATCTAGATGTGTATAAGAGACAGGGCCAGATTTCCCCCCCCCCCTCACCCTAAATCCACCAATGGTATAACAAAATACTATAATGTAATATCCTAAAGCTTTTAAGAAGTAAAGTACAGTACCTTTGGGACATCCCTACTTTTTTGCCTGCGAAGCAAAAAATATAAAACTACAGTCAATCATTATACAGGGGACATCCCTATTAAGGGATCTACTACTTTTGGTCCCATATGTGTCCCCATAATAAGGGTTCTACTGTATTCTGAGTTCATGTTCTGTGTCACTTTTGAATTTCAGTTGGACTTGACCAATGAACATGATCTCATGCTCGCTATGGGCTTGCCGCTTTCATTTACAAGATCACAAAGCATGTATCAACAACATGACAGTGTAAGTATTAATATTTCAGAATATTGTAAGTTATTTGTTTTCAAGAGCATATTTCATAGATACATCACTTAACATAATTCATGCTTTGTTAAATAGACGGATGGCTTTAAAAATGGAAAAAAGCATCGAAAGAAAAGGAACAAAAAGAAGATGAAAATGAGAATGGATGTTGCTGGATCTGATGAGTTTTCAGTAGTAAGTTTTATCATTATATTCAAAAAATAGTGGACCAATGTCACAAAGATTTCCGTTCTCATGAATACTCTCTTAGCCTCATATCAGATGGATCTCACATACATTTATCTTGTAATTGGAAAATGTACTTGCTGGCTGTGAAAAAAAAAAGGTATTTAAAAAAAGTACCTTCTGCTTATAAATATAGAATTATATCAAAGACATAAAACTGAAAGAGGTCCAACTCTTTATTTAACACAATCCTATCGCAAAAAAGTACTACCACAAGCTAGAGGGCATCCTTCAAAAGAACATAAAAAGCGTTAGTATCGAATGTGTGTTGCATCAGTGGAACGCAAGTTTGAGTTACGACCTCTATTAATAGAGGAATCTTAATAGGATGTCCCATCACGCAGTACTTTTTTAACATTTCATTGCTTGCATACAAAATCAGGGCAGTCAGACCTCTTGTAATTCTATATTCTTTGCTTTTATATAAAGAATGAAGCCTTTTCTTTCTATTTTCTACCAATAGAATGATGGTTTCAAAAGAGAAAGGACACACAGAATGAAAACTAAGAAACTGAAGATAAAAAATCCTGAAGGCTATGAACTTTTGGAGAACATTGTAAAATGTGAATCTAACACATATCATGATGCATGCTTGCCTACTGATGGTTTCCACTGTAACACAAGTGATAACTTAATGTCATGGGAGACATATTGGGGTTATTATGGAGAGCACTTGATGTGGGAGACCTGGGTGGAAAAGTACCCAAACTATCCTCACCAGAAAGAAAGTACTGTCGAACTTGAAGGAGGTTCGGAAAAAGTAAATGACAAGGAAAATGAATCTGGGCCAGTGTTAACAGCTCCTTCTGACTTAAAATCCAAAGCTGAAAATATGGTCAGTACATCTCCAAAGGTGCAATCACTATCCCATCTGAAAGAACAAAAAGGCATGATTGATAATATGACTGAAGTAGTAGGTCTTGCTCATGAAGACAAAATTGTAACACACCATCAGATCAACTCTGACATTTTTACAGATTCAACCTCTGTGAATACAGAGAAAAGTGAAGATGCTATGGCTATTCCTACTGAAAGAGAGTGTTTTACAGATTTTCCTTCAGGAACAACTTATTCCATTGATAATGGAAATTCAGACAAGGAACACAATTGGGAGGAACTTTGGAACAGTCATTATGAAGAAGTGTATTGGTCATGTTACCAGCAATATAAGATGTGGAGTGACCAATCAAATGACGATGATGCCAGTCATGTGGAGAGGGTTGACCAATCAGATGTGCATGATGCTAGTCACGTCGTTGGGGTTGACCAATCACATGATACAAGTCAAAATGTCGACCAATCAAATGAAAACCAACAGACAGATGATGATTTTAGCTTCAGTCTTAATGATGTCATTGACCAATCTGGACATCTTACTATTGATAACTCAAAAGACAATGACCAACTATCTGAGGAGCCAACAGATGGGAAATCAAAAAAGCGAAAAAAACATAGGAATGATGAGGGCCAATGTACAGGTGACGATTCTTGATACAAATACATGATTAAGGCCTAGTTCAGACTAGGTGGATAAACTCAACTCACCGGGTTTATCCACCTGCCAGTCTGAACTAGGTGGCTCATGCCAGGCTGTGTTCCTATAGTAACCAGGCCTGGCGTGCCACCGTGTTTAACTTTTCTAAGCCAGGCTTTAATCGTTGCAGGGGGTCTTGCATTGACTTCGGGTGACGAAATGACCAATCGCTGTGAGCGAGCGTACGTTTCGCGAGCAATGTTTTGAAACACGTTTCCTGGTTACTGTTCATTATTATGCAAATTCTCGCCTGGCTAAACCGGCTAGTCTGAACGCCCGGCAAAGTTAAGCCGGGCCTAACGTTGAGCCGGGCTTAACTCAAGCCTGGCTTATATCCAAGTCTGAACGTAGCCTATTAAACAAATGAGGCTTGCCATCCCAAAACCAACATACTGTACTGTCACTATTAAACTGCATCCTTAGCACATGAATGTTGCAGTATTGTATACTTTAGAACAGAGAAGCTGTAATGCTTTTAAAAAATAATAATTTTATCTTGATTGAGCGCATTTTGCTAAAAGCCTCAAGCCGCTCAAAAATCCAGAAATAGTAAATCGATTCCAGTAAATTACCTATCATTTTAAAGCTTATAATGTGGAGAATATGAATAAAAAATGAAATGTTCTTGTTTTAGTCACTGATGCTGGCATGGCAAGCCCCAAATAAGAAAATAGGCTCCCAGTGGGAGTGTGTGTCTACTGCCAAATTTAATAGAAGCGGTGCTTTTTGTTATTATCCAGGCTTTCCAATTTGTGCAGGCTGACTGATGATTGCTATTGTTAATAAGCTAGCATCAACTCCAAAACTACCGAGTTAGGGTAAAAAAAACAAAGGGAACAACCACAAGCAAGAGTGAGCGGAGTGCTTCTACTTGATTTAATTTTAGCTTCCAACTTTCGGAACTGTGCGCCTGATATATAATGACGAATTGGCTAGCAATGCATCGTAGAACAATCACGTCATATCACACATCATGATTGTGACATAATGTCAACTTTACACTTCCGGATTCTTCACACTTTTGTGAATTTCAGCTCACGCTCACAATGTCAACTTTACACTTCCGGATAGACCAGGATAGCAAAGTGTCTACTGCCTGAGGGCAGTAGACACAAAAATACTAATGAATCAATGAATGACTAAAAAGCAACAATCCTGTATTGACGTAGTGCTCTGTCAGTTTCCACAAATAAACAAAGTTACCCTTTAGTTAATAGCTTAGTGGCTTTATTAGGCCTACATTAACAAAATATCTAAATACAGAATTTCAAACCGATCTTTCCAGGGTCTAGTGAAAATGTTAGTAAGACAAGTATAGAAATCTGTAATAGTAAGAAGGATGACAGTAATGATGGTGATGAGGATGATGACAAACAAGCTAATAGACCTTTGAAGATTAAAAAGAGGTAAGATTTCAAAGCAAGGCATACACAGACAGCACGGTACCACAGCAGTTCAAGATTGAATTTTGGTGTGAGGAGAACCAAATTCCAAAAAAGCTGATGCAGTTTTTTGCTTGTGTCCTTGAGAAAGGCAATGTTCTAGTTATTTCATCCCTTGATTTGACATAATATGTTGGTTGTGTGTGCATGTTAACTTCAACAAGGGCCATATATATTCTACATTAACTTAATCAATTCAATTTATCAAGATGCTTCCAAAAGTGGAGCGTGTAAAATGAATATGGGTGGACAGAGAAACAGATATATTAAATAATGATAAACATACTGTAATGTGCAATTCAGATCTCATCTGGCAATGAATAATCGACCAAAAAACTCAAAAGAAATAGGCAATTAAACTGACTCAGTTTATTTTCATTTTTTTCCATATTCTTGTGCAGACATGAAATGGATGTTGACGAAGATTGTGAGGAAGACACTGAGGAACTTGTGAAATCCCTTGGACTAAAATTTGATTCCAAACCTAATAGGTGAGTTGCTCACTTCCATTCCATTTATTCACAAATTTGGCTCTAAACATATCAGGATAAAGAGATATGGTTATATGCCCAAATAATTACTAAAGCTTTATGCTATGCTTTAATCTTGGAAATAATTTTATTGTTTATATCTAGTGCAGTTCAATTATCAATTTTTTTTATCTAAGTGCAGTTTCCATGTTGTGACATCTGCTTTTTACTTTATCTTTTTAATAACACTTTTAACTTCAAAGTTGATGTGTGTCCTTTTATCTTTGCTGTTGGGGTTGGAAATGTGTGTGATATATCTTATTCTCTGTTCTTAAAAATATACAGTAGAAGTGAGTGGGACTCCTTGAAATATAAATAAAGAAAGAATGAAATAGAGAAGTGCCACCAATATCTTATTGATTCTTGTTGATTGTTTATGTGTCATGCTATCGTCTTATATTTGGTGCGAGGTTTCACCTATAGAAACCACCATTAATCATCCTACCAAAAAGAAACCTTACTATTTATATCTTTCGAGAGTGCATCTCATTCCAATCGCTTTCTTGGACAGCATAGGATAATGTATAGGATAATGTAGATCTTATACATGCTTGGAGGTTCTGAGCGAGGTCTACCCTACTAAATAATAGTACTCTATGTAGGTTTTCAATGTAGTGCCATATAATAGTCTGCTAGAGTGCTATTACAAATGTTATAAATAAGAAAAAACAAATTAAGTAATGAAAATATGCTTTTTATGTGGTCCTTAAATATAGTTCACACAGAGAGATATGTAATGAAGAAAGAGCAGTATTGACTGACCTAACACTTTGTTATTGATTTTAATTTATAAATTTTATCTTTCAGGTTTGAAAACCAACTCGAATTCAACTCCATCAAAGTGTGCTATATGAATAAAAAGGTTAAAAAGAAAGTAAAACCCAAAAAGAAAAGAAGTAGAAATAAAGCCACATTGGGAATGATTGAAACTCTTGAAAATGTTCCAGAAATTAGCACCAGTAAGAATAGTAACAGTACATTGAACAGAGCTAAGAAATTCCTTGATATGGTCAGAGATTGTGACCATGGAAACCAAGAGATTGAAACTTCAACCAATAATCCAGATTCTGGGGCCCAAGATATGTCAAACAATCAAGAAAGGGATCCAGTAGAAAAGCGTGCTGATGTTGAACTTAAGGTCGAAGAATTAAATGAAAAGTGTTTAGAAACCCTCTCTGAAAATATATCCCGTATTGATGAAGGCAAACAGGTTAATAAAATAATGAATGATGATGAAGATGGATTGATGGTTGAAACAAAGTTGATTCCAAAAACCGTTTCTTTGGAACAAAATAATGATGAGGAAGAAGACGATGTTGAAGACGAAGAAATAGAAGAAAGAATTGGAGAAAAATCTGCCAAAGAAATTGTTGTCTATGATGATCCTCAGATCAGGAACTACCCTGAGGTTGTGGATAATCCTGAGTTGTTGAAGTACTGGGCTCAGCGCTATAGGCTCTTTTCAAGGTTTGATAAAGGGATTAGAATGGATAAAGGTGAGTGTCTTGTACAAATGTTATGTTAATGTGTAAGATTGCTTTTTCAAGTGGCCATGTGTGTATTTTGTTACGTCCCAACTAATCAACCAAAATGCTGTTTACATTTTTAACAGTTAAAAGAAGGCTCAAAATATATTGTAATTATAATATGTTATTATCAATACTAATAATTATGATATGTTGAGGACGATGATGATGAGGAGGAGGAGAAGGATGATGATGATAATGTGGTGTTGGTGCTGGTGATAATTACTGTATGAATTATGATGATGCTACTGTAAGTAATAATACTTTAACAGCTTCTTCGCATTTAACATCAAAATAAAATATAAAACATGTTATTATATTTCAGTAGTATAAAGCTTGATAGGGTAGTAGTTTTTAAAAATTAAGAATTTTATATAATTAAAATCCTGGATAGATGTATCTTCATCAAAATATTTTTTATTGATGTTAAAAAAATGAAGTACTGTACCTAGTACTTTAATGTCAAATCAAAGAAAAGATGTATTCATTTGTTGCTTCTTGCTTGAACTTTTTCAGAGAGTTGGTTCTCAGTTACACCTGAGAAGATAGCACAACACCATGCCTCCAGGTGTAAATCAGATCTCATCGTCGACGCTTTCTGTGGTGTTGGTGGAAACGCGATTCAATTTGCATTCAGCTGTGAACGAGGTAGTTTATATTGTTTTATTGAGTGTGTAGTGTTTGCAGCAGTTGGAGTATGTACTCTCTGTGTTTTAAATCCTACCAAGGCTGACATTTGCTTTGGTAGAAAACCTTATTCTGATTTAATCTCTTGTTATGCATACACAATGTTTTTAATTTTTTTAAACAGCTAACTTGGTACATGTTTCACAAAGTAGTAGTGGCTTTTCTTTCATTTCCTATTGGATTCATTTATGCTGTTTTGAGTTTACATATTGTATTGGCTACTGTGTTAGCAATTTTTTGTCCCTGTGACTGAATATATTAAATCATGTTACATGATTTGAATATATCAAATCATGTAACATTCCTTTAAAGTAGACATTTTCTGTGTGGCAAATTTTTATTTTGATAAAGGTACTATTTTTTCTTTCCCCGGCCGTTTCTGTGAATGTTTGGCAACTGTTGATTAATCAATTGTATGCCTATGAGTTTTGAGTACATGATTGCATAGGAAATTGTTTTGCAGAATTATACAACACAACTGGAATATTTCGCATTCGATACCTAATTCCCAGGGGAGCTGAGTTTGTGTTTTGTAGGTGTTTATTCCAATGAACATGGATATTGAGTGTGAAACACATGAGGTCTCAACAAATCTCATTAGTTTTGATTTTAGTTCAATTTCTTTTTCATTTTGCTTTCTTTATTTTTTATACTTGTGATCCACTTGTGATACCAGTGCAGCATCACTGAAAGTGTAATCACAAGACAGAATAAATAAATAAATAAATAATGCACTATGTAAGTCTATTATTATATAAAAATAGGGGAAGGTTCATCTGCTCCCAACCTCCACCAGCACCATCTAGACCTATTCATTTAATTATACTTTTAATTTTGTTTTTAGTTATTGCAATTGATATGGATCCAGTCAAAATAGCTTGTGCTCGTCATAATGCAGAGATTTACGGTGTTGCAGATCGTATCGACTTCATCGTGGCAGACTTCTTTGATGTTGCTGGGTCCTTAAAAGCTGATGTGGTTTATCTAAGTCCACCATGGGGAGGACCCGAGTACCTGCATGCAAAGATCTTTGACGTGCAAAATATGATGGCAATTAACTCATATCCTTTTACAAGACCATAATTTTAATGATTAATTTTCTAAAACTATGCATATGTTGGGAAAGTAAACAGGTTAATTGTGCAGAGGGACCACTTCCCAGGGTTGGCCCCAGGATTTACCCGATGAGGGGGGTGCACGGTGGTGATTTCCCTGATGATAGCGAAGTGGCTATGGTTGGGCGTCACTCCAAATCTTTCGAAAGTAGTCCATAGGACAAAGACCCCAAAAATTATGAAAAAATGTTTTATCAATTTTAGTCTGCTAATATGTAGAAAATAATTATAATAATATTTTATCTTCCCAATGAATTGTGGGTTTTTCTGATGTGAGAGTGTTCTTATTGTTCAGGTTTAACATAATCAAAGTGTTAAATAATTTTTGATGTTGTACAGTTTCCATTTATTATTCTTAACATTTTCTACATTTAAAATGTTTGAAGTAGCTCGCAAGATCAGTGGCAACATCGCTTTCTTCGTTCCAAGAAATGCTGATGTTCAACAGGTGCGTCTTTTTCCTATATGTTCAGTAGCATTTAGCATAGTAGTTCCAGTGGTGGATCTAGAGGTGGTGAGTAGGGTGGCTAGCCACCCCCCTTCGTTTACCATAAAAAGAAAAATAATGGTCACTCGTCTTTTGCGTGTGCTTCTCGTGTAGTCTGGTACAACATACACTTTCTATTTTAAGCTTGCTTATTTTCAGATGCCATCTAAGATCGTCTAACCGTCTGCTGATTCCAAACAAACCTCAAATGGGAGACCCTTCCTAAAACCACCCCCCCCCCCCCCACTTGGTCCTTCTCATCTCCTATTATCCACTCCCCATTGCTAAATCCTAGATCTGCCACTGAGTTCAGTCTCTGTCCTGGTTTAATAATTTATTCATTAGCTTTTGTGTAATCAGACAGACAGCCTGACAAACAGTGAATACATAGCCTCCATGGCAGAGGTAATTATTGTTTCTACTGGTTAGGAGCAAATGTCCCTTTCATTATAATAATTTTTTATTTTCATTTCCAGCTTGCATCTCTTGCAGGGGAAAATGGCAGGATGGAAATTGAACAGAATGTTTTAAACAACAAAGTGAAGACACTGACTGCTTATTATGGAGAGCTAGTTAACTATTGAATTAATGCTGGATATATAGTAGTCTTGGATTGTAAACATAAAAACTGTTTTGCAATATTTCTGTATATAAAACATAATTTTGATAACTTCCATGCTTATTTTCCTTACACAAAAATACTGTATTTTCATAGTAACATATATCTGGATAACGTGGATCTGTATAGCTATAGTACCAAAAATATTCTTCCACCAAGCCTTAACCCTTGAATACTGTTGCTAAGTGAGCTTGTGCATGGTAGCTGTATTTGCGAATAAATTTTTGGATGTGTGTATTCCCTGGCAACGCCTATTGAAAAACCTGATTGGCCGGATTGTTAAGTTTGATTTATACAATTGTAGGCATCTCGGACAGGGACATGTTCCCCTTTCGCCTCCCAGATTCTTTAGAGAGAAATAAGATTTTGAAATTATAAAATTATGTCACCGCTTTTCATCAATAATGATATCATCAATAACATCATCCTATAGAAACAAGATAAAAAAGAAAGAATGTTTACTTGAGCAACCAATGTACTGTATATAGATATATTGCTGTGTTCTTAGTTTGTTCAGCACACATTAAATCATTTATAGAAATTTCTTGTTAATAGCAGTTTAATAAATAATGCTATGGTCATAAATTTTATTTTATTTATATTGTATCTTTAAAACACTCCCTTTTGTGTATAGTATTTTTTTCCATAGTTGCAAGACAATATGTTCAATTTGTTTAATTTTTATCATCGGATATACTAAAATTTAAAAAATACCACTTCTCAATGTTGCCACCATAATCTTGTAAAAGCATTCAGTAATGGCACCAGAATCTGCCCGACGGGGGGTGGGCTGTCTCTTATACACATCTTCCCTTGGGGGGGTGTAAACGTGTGAAGCGGGCATTTTGGCTGAGGGAATTTTTAAGGTTTATGGTGATGTTTCTGTGAGTTGACCCATTGAGATCTGAAATTAATAACTCGTATTTTGGCAGGGGAATTACCCCTGCCCCCAATTTCCGACACTAATTGTAGCATGACTTCATGTAACTTTTGTGATGTCCAAACAACTTCCTAGTGGTAGGCCTAAATCAGGGCCGGCGGAACGTTTTTCAAAGTGAGGGGGCCCAACTTATAAGCAGCGCGTAACAGGGGTCTTGGGTCGGGGGGGGCAAAGGTAATAATTTTCCTGGTTAGTAATTTATGACTTGGTGTGATACCACCCCCACCCCCATTCCCCCATATAGAAAACAATACGGCATAGGGCTTATTTTAATATTAATATAGGGCACACGCGTCTGTTTGGAACTAAATATAAGCATTTTCATCGTGGTTTTATTTATTACAATTCATAGGCCTATTCTTTCACCATCATTACACACTGAGGCCCTTCTTTTAGGTAAAACGATCTATCTTAAATTTTCTTTCTCAAGTTTTTGGGACTATTATGTTTTTAAATAACTTAGAAGGCAAAGGAGGGCAAGCACAAGCTTCAACCCTAACAAATGCGCGCGAAAATTTTTTTTGTGCTTTTAATTCTAATTTCGAATTGATCAAAACTCCCTAATTGTGCAATTTTTAGAGGAAATTGGCCTACCTCATCAAGAAATGCTCTTATGTTATATATGGCCACACTCGTTTTTTTTTAAACTGAATATAATTAAGTATTTTCCTTATGGCTTTATTTATTACAAACATATTCTTTCAACATCATTACACATTGAGGCCCTTTTTTAATATGTTAAACGATCTATCTTAAATTTTCTTTCTTGAGTTTAGGACTATGTGTTATAACTTAGAAGGCAAAGGTGAGCAAGCACAAGCTTTAACATAAAAAATGCGCGCGAAAAATGTTTGTTTTTTAAATTCTAATTTCGTTGGAATTGATCAAAACTCCCTAAAATGTGCAATTTTTAGAGGAAATTGGCCTACTTCAACAAAATATGCGATTTAAAATTTGAGATTTTCAGGCACTTTCCCGGGTGAAAAGGGCATTCAATGGGGAAAGACTTTCCACAGCTGGATATTTTCCCCTTGTCCCCCGGTTATTACCTGGCGGCTTAGATCAAATGCGCTATGGACACTTTTTGAAGTGGAGAATGGGTTGCAGGCAGGGGTATTGTGATATCTGTTCATTATATCTTCCTTTTTATTCTTGTCTTTATTTTTCTCTTCTCTTTTCCTTTCTCTTTCTTTCCCCTTCTTTCTCTTTCCCTCCCTCTCCCCTCTTTCTTTTCTCTTCTTACCCAGCCAGCCCGGTACGACGGCTTGGTCAGTCCAGTAAAAACCGTCAGTGGGGGGTGGGGGGGGAACAGTCTGCCCCTGCCCCGCCTGTTACGCCACTGTTTATAAGATGAATGGGAATATGAATCATGCAGATCTGGAATAAAATCTAGGTGGTGGGGTCAACATTCCTCCCCAGGGAAAATTTCGATTTCTAGATGGCGGGAAATGAGCTTTCCCGACTTCTGAGGTGTCTTTTAATTACTTTTTTGTTCTTCAAAATTCAAGG